TTACGAAGCCACGAAGAGGTCGGCTTTTGCGAGCAACGTATGGCAGCCTAAGGCAAGGCAAGGCAAGAAGCACTCCCAGGATGCGATGACATACGTACGAAATTATGGATCGCGGTCAGTCAACAACACAATCGTCACGATGTCATAGCACAACTTTTCGAACAACAGTTACGATGTTTGATGGTGCTGTTGGATGCTAGATGTACTCTGTGGAGTGGCAAAAGAGAGGTTGGCCGCACGTAGACATTCTTCTTTGGATGGTTGTTACACCTGATTCAATTGATGAAATCATTTCTGCGGAAATTCCTGATGCAGAGAAAGATCCAGTATTAAGTGGTGAAAACCAATATGATTAATTGACCTTTCGAACATTACAATCCCTTTTCGGTTTGTATGGCTGACAATAAATGCACGAAACTCTATCCACGTGCTTTTCTTTCGGAAACACAAAGTAGAAATAATGGACATCCACTCTATCGGCGTAGCTCACCAGACGACAATGGCAGAACATTCAGCATTTAATTTAGAAGAATGAATATCGAAATTGAAAACTCACGGATCGTACTATATTCACCACTAATTCACATTCAAAACTCATATTAATGTTGAGTATTGCAGTTTGGTTTAATCGATAAAATACGTTTTTAAGTACGTCACTAAAGGAAGCAACATGGCGGTTATTGGTCTTGAACGAGAATGGCCAAAGAGTATATTTCAACTCAGAGAATACAGTACAGCCAATTAAAACACCTCCAGCAACAAAATTAACATTGACGAGTTTTTTCTTCAGTGATCCGTTTGCTAGAACATTGCTCTATTCGAAAATACCTTGATATTATACATGGAATGCATCGTCGAAGAAATAGTTGCGCAGGAAGCAAGGCCCTCCAATAGATGGACATCCAGGTGTGTTAGCAACTAATACGTTAGGACGGATTTACATAAACCACCCGAAAAACGATGATTGTTTCTACCTTTGGTGGCTATTGATTAATGTACGCGGTTCAACTTTATTTGAGTCAATCTGCGCTATCGAATACAAGGGGCAGAATGCTTGGTTCTATGAATTCCTTTGAGTTCTAACGATTTGCCATTTCAGTTCAAACGTATTCCGCTTCCAGTGAATTTGAGGTGACGATCAACTGGACACAACTTGGTTTGCCAAGCTTGGAAGTGCTATGTTTTTCACACGGTCAGATATATGTACGTGGCGTGCTCACGAGTTTGAAAACCATCTTTTCTGTACACCGAAATAGAAACCAAAAAATGTGGTTTATCAAGCAACGTTACATTGAAAAAAAAAAAAGAAATGATAAATTCAACTTTCTTTTCATTTCAAAGCACATAATTTCACGCAGTAAAACGGCTGCGGGGCCAGCTGGTACTTTATAGTCTTATATTCTCAATAGTCGAGATTGTTGGGTACATTCAAAAACTATGGGAACCGATGTAAAAATTGAACGATAGGCGTGGCACTGCCCACTTTTTGGTGAAATCACATATTTCGGAACCCGACATACATAGCTGTTCCGCCTAAATTTGGTGTGTGACATTCCTTTATATGCCCGTGTTACAGTGTGAAAATGGACGAAATCGGACAAAAACCACGCGTACTTTCCATATTGCATAATTTTAAGTTCCACTTGATTCTTTCACCTTCCAGTACACAAATCAAGAAGCAATTAATATAACGGGATAAAACTTTGCACAAATAATGTCGTATAACCAAAAATTGTCGAAATTCAAGAGAAACTTTTCAAGCCCCTAGATACCGATATTTGGACCCAGTACTTTTAGTTGACTTTTGGCCAAAAATGTCGATAAATGTGTGAGATATACAATTGAACTTCGGAAAAACTCATTTTCTGCTAAAAGTTATTCTGTTTATAAAAATGGGTTGAATTGGGCCAATACTTCCCTTAGTCCCTATATACCTAATATAAAGATTTTCGAACTTCCGGCTGACTTTATGCCACATATACCGGCCAATATGTGAGTTATATGAATGAAAATCAAAAAGCCTCTATTCTCAGTTTATTTCTGTGGCTAAAATAAATAAATATGAGCGAAAACTTCACCTAGCCCCCAACGAACGCCTTTTCGAACGTTTTGAACCTTATAGTATTTTCCTGGCCTGTCCTGTAAGTTGAAAGAGTATGAAATGTTCGGTTACATCCGAATTTAGGCGTTTCTTACTTGTTTGTTGCTATTTTTATATTCCAAATGTATTTTACTTAATTTTGGCCAGAAAGTTCAAAAATGCTTTAGAGAATGTATTGATATACTGAATTTTTCTTATCTTCTATAAACTGAAGAAAATATATTAAATATAAAACAACAAAGTTATCAAAGAAAAACTCAAAAATTGCGTTAACAAAAGTCTACATGCTGTACAAAAGAAACAGATTTTTGTGCAAAAGCTTTAAGTAGTTCTAGGTATTATATTTTGATATTTAGTTGGCATCTATAACCGCTTGAAGCCGCTTTGGCATCGATTCTACCAAATTTGGCAAATATGTAGATGTAATGCTCCTTCTAGCTCCATATATGCGTTTTTTGAGAATAATAGCGGTAAAAATCAGTTTTTTCTAATACTTCCCACCTACATTTCCTAGACATTTTCAAAAATATTTTAAACTGGGGTTTAAGATGGTATGTTTAAGTGTTTGAGACAATAATAAAGCAGTCAATCCTTAATAATTTAAACTCTATTCTTATCCTGTTGGGAGATTAAACTGGAACCGAGAGCCAATTTTCCACTAAAGGTATCAATTTATGTTTCAACAGCGTCTTTTACTTGTAATCAAAAACTAAAATGCCAACTTCAGAGGTCCAGAAATTCAGCCCCCATTCTTTGGCGAATTCTAAACGAAATTTCGCTTCTTGCTTTTTCTTGCACTTTCAGAACCACGAAGACTAAGGGTGTAATAATTCAAAACTTGTATATGGTATAAAAGTTTCCATTTCATCACCCATGCCATCGGTATGAAAGTGATATGGATTGTTTCAAAAAAGTTTTGCGAAGCCTCATTTCTAAGGTATCACTCTCGAAATCGTTGCATTTAATTATATAAGTTCATCTGAAATTTTCTTTAGTAATCTAATTGGTAGTAGAGATATATAATAACATTGTAATCATTTGAAATAACACTATTGGTCGCTCCACCCATTATCAGTTTTACGAGCTTCTAAAGCAAGGAATTCTAAAACTTTTGATATATAAGTATACATACATATATATTTTTTCATGTAATTTTTAATTATAATAAATAACGATCCATACGTAATAAACATTTACACACAATCAACATATAATTTCAATACATAATTACATATGTATGTATTATATGGGTGTTTAAGAGGATATTAGCTTTTCTTAACTAACACTGCCAAAAATCCTCAGTTGGTTGCGTTTATGAAATTCTGAAATTTTAATATCACTATTGATAACTCAATATTATAGACAGTTACTACATACATACATACTTATGTAGTTATGGAAAAATTATCTCTTAATGGCTTCAAAGCGTTATTTATTGCCCATTCAATTACGACATTGTTGCTGTTGTCGCCACATGTGTTACAAATTATTATTATTTTTTCAGAATACTTGTTATGTACAGAAATGCAGATTTGAAGTCCCCTTTCAACATTGGAAACATAAAATGAAATGAGTGCGTCTCTACATACAAAACCAAGCCGCTATTCGAATATAAGTACTTGCACATGTTTTATGGGAACAAATGGAAGCACACATTTATTCGTACGGTATGTACATACATGTTTTTTGGCCCATATTTTACCACTCTCATATGATTTGAGGATGGCGTTTTCATTGCATTAATTGCCCCTAAAATTGCTCAAACTTTTCCATTTTTATTATAATACCACACACATGCACAGACACACCACAAAAATGGATCTTATACTTACAGCAAAAAAGTGTGGTCTCAGCCGCCCTATAGAGTATTTAGCAATGTCAGTTAATAGCTGACAAACAGCTGCTCCGAATCCAAAAACTCCAATACTTTTGTAGCATTGCACCATCCAGACAGGAATTTCGTAGTCCATGAAGACATACTGACGCTGTGTAATAATATCCTCCGTTGAAGGCTTGGTATTATTCGCCTTCACAATTTCAACTATAAGAATCTGAAAAAGTCAGAAGAAAATTTCGTATAAAACGAGTTTCTGAAAATAATAATGAAGATTAGGAATGTAAATAATAGTAGACAGAGTCAATTCTTATTCTATAAGGCATTCGCCTCCTAGTAAATTAAAAGTAAATTAGCACATGTTATTGCAGGTGTGAAAATATATTTGGTATACTCACAACGTGTCATAAAGCATCGTAAAATCATAAGTTTTTATACTAGTTGAAAAACTTGTTGTTGAATTGTATACTAAAAAACGTTTACGCAAATACAACTATGAACGAATGTTTTCGGATCGTTATAACTTATAACTTTATGAGACTATGTGAAACCCCTAATTATCAAACATTTTGGTTTCTACAGTCTGACCATTAAAACAAAAAACGATCAAAAAGTCTCCTGAACCCATAAAATAATCTTATAGAACGCTGACGAATCATTTCGAAATTGAAATTAATCGCTGATGCATCGTTCATAATATTTAATGATAATTCGGTCTCGGATTTCATCTGCCCATTTGGAAGTTGTTGTTTAAAATTGAGTTTTCTTCAACATTAAGTATAGTATGTCATAACCTTTTTGTTTCTAGTAATAAGGACTGTGTCGAATAAAATTGTACAAAAATAATACAATCTTTTAAACTAATAGTCAGACTTTTATAAACTATGATTTTTATTTTAGATTTGAAAAAGTTGTAGAGAAACTAAGAGTTATGTTTTATTAATTAGAAGTTTTAATTTTTCTGGAACCTCGTCCATCAGTGCTTTTATAGTAGTGTTTGTTCCTCTTCTTGCTACTGAAGACGCTTTCTTTTAAAGTCTAATTTTTGGTCACTTTTTTTTGCCTTCGACTCCGTTTTTACTAAATTTAATCTCTCAATCGACCTTAATTCTGAACAGTCAGGTGGATTCGGTTCTCTAGGTACTAGAATCCCTCTCTTTCATTTCAACCACTCTAAGCTTGTTTTGCTATAGTGACATGAAGCGAGGTCAGGCCAAAAAAAAGGTGGACATTTCATGTTGCCTTAAAAGTGAGCTTCTGTTGTTGTTCTTGACGGCATTCTATTCAGAGCTTCCTGTACCTTATACGTCCTCAGCTCAGCTTCCTTTTGCGTCCTGCGTACAAAAGATTGTGAGCAGCCAGCGTTCCCCGTCAATTTCCTTCCAGAAATGCTTGGCTCTTTCTTGAGAATACTTAGTCACAACGTTCTTCGCCTTCTCACTGTAAAGTGGCGTGTTTTTTTTTTAACCAGAACATGTCTTCTTGTCGTTGCCCACATCTTCCTTAAATCTCCTAACTCTTTTGCAAATTTATTAAAAGACCAATGCGGTTGCTTTGAAAATTTTTGACAACGCACATTTCCCACTCTGCTGGCCATATTCGCGTTAAATAAATTTTTATGGAAAAAATGTAACGGACAATTTAATTCGGCGCAGTCAGTAGTGAAACAATATAGTTTCTTGGGTGAACTAATTTTAGATATGATATTTCCACTGATTGATGGATTCAAGCTTAATAACGTTTATATGAGAGAATTGTTTAAAATAAAGGATCCTACATTATGTGTAGAAGTTGAGGAAAGTTCTCATGTGTCATTCACTTGGAAGTGGCTAGAAATGATTATTTTATACATATGTGGCTCAACCAGCTCCTCTGGGTTGCCAAAAACATCGGTTTGAAGACGAGCAAAATTGAGAAGACGAAACACCCACGCCACGTACCAAAACATCCCAATGAAAAGAAGAAAAGAGCTAGATGTTCTCAACTTGGTTAAAACATCGTAAGTGGTGATACGCCAATAAGGATGAACAAGTTTAAAATGAAATAAATAATAAATCTTGGTAGATATGGGCAAGCCTGTCCACCTTGTCCTTGTCAATAATTATATTGAATAAAATATCCCAATAAAGAAATGCGTGAGAAGCATTAAATTTCAGATCTTAAACGATTCAAAAACCATTCAAAATTGAACGTAAACCGTCTACGTTTAGATGAAATCCTATGTCTCAGAGATAAAATTTTATAAATAACACTATCCGATGGCAATGACGTTTTCTTCCCAAGTATCACAACATTAAGTGATACGATTCTTTTAAATTTGTAAGAAAATTTGAAGTCACACAATAACTTCAATTCCCATATACCGAATACGGCAATCAATTTGTGAGATGTTATTGAAATTCAGGGAACTTATTTTCCTGGTAATAATGTGCCCTTGTATCAAAAATCACTCGAATACAAAATTTTCGGTTACACCCGAGCTCATCCTTAATTGTTTTAAATGATTTCTAGTTTTGTGTATGGCAGCATGTGTTTCTCACGACTTTCAATCCAAAACTTGTGTTGTTTGTAAATTTCTATGGTCTGTACATTCCTACTTATGTACTTAATAAAATGTAAGTGTATACGTGTACTTATGGTTGCGCATAAAAAGTACTTTTGATAATGTGAAAAATGGGCGAGAGGCTTTTCTATGATTCTGCTTATACGAATTTTGAATTGTAACAAATCGACAGCTGGTGACACTTGGTAGTATGTGTCAACTAATGAGAAGGCGAAACAAATTGAAAACACTGGATTTGATCGCCTCAACAATGTGCCATACTTAACGGAATGTACGAACAAATGTGCTAGAAGATCTGCTTCTCAACATTTTCCTCATCTTTAATTGCCCTCAAAAATATTGTCGGCATTTTATTTGACTATTGAGCACATACAAAGGTTGTGCAACAAATGTAAGTATTTCGTCTTCAATTGAGAACAAATGGCTGCCAATACTTGTGTCTTCATATAAACTCAATTCAACTCGAACCAACGTCGGTTCTGATAAATTACTCAAATTCCAAATATTTCCTCTGTCTCATAGATAAATACCCTTACGTAGTTGTAAAAATAACATTCTTAGATTTACCGAGCTCATCTTTGGGATTCCCATCACTTACCAATCCAATTGGTAGGACCAGTCCTATAAAATACAGCATCCAATTCCGAATTGTTGAGGGTTTGAAAGGGTGTTTCAGCGATTCGTCGTCGCAAAAGAATCCACGCTGATATGCAGTGCCCCACAAATAAAAGCATAAGATCGGAAAGCCCACTGAAAAAAAAAAAAGTTGGTCGACATTACAAAGATTATGATTTAAACAACAAATTCATGGGTGTGTGGAATCCAAGACAGAATTGCTTAGCTGTCAGAATTGCAAACTAATTCTGATTTTCAATAATGTCACAGAATCTGATTCGAACATATGCAAAACCAATATTCGAATCAGCTGTTTACTAATGAGACAAAACTTGCAAATGAATACATTTGGAAGCAATCCTATTAAAATTTTTAAAGAGTTTCGAATTAAAGAAATATTTTAAGAGATAACATTTATTGAATGAATAAAGACGCATTTGGGTGTTAAATTTCGTTTTTCATTTGTACGATTTTTCTTAATTGGCTGGCAAAATAGAAAAAAACCTGAACGTCATATAGAATTGGGGCAAAGTTTATTATCTTTGGCATTAAATTATCTTCTATTGAAACTGAAAAAACTAAGAAAGACTAAGTTTGAACATATATTTAAAGTAACATTTTTTAGACCAAAATCAGTTTTTTTTTAATTTTAAAAAAATTTATAATTTTACTTTTTTNAACATATATTTAAAGTAAAATTTTTTTAGACCAAAATCAGTTTTTTTAATTTTAAAAAATTTTATAATTTTACTTTTTTTTTAATTTTCAGTTTAATTTGAACATAAGTTATTAAATAATATTAATCTCTTTGAATTTTTTGTTTCGGGTAGAAATCTCGACCTGCATCCTGCCCGCCGTCTGGCATGTGCACATGCGAAAAGCATCTGACAATTGCTTCCCAAAGGCAAAATGTAAAAGATTTCGTTTCAAAAAAATGTGCGGATGACGTTTAAATACATAACTATAAACAATAGAAATTTCGATTTAATCAATTACTTATTTCCCTCCAAAAAAACCTTCAAAAAAATCGATTTTTAAGCCTATAAAGCAGGTTCCCCGCCTTAAACATCCGCATTTTTTTTTCCAAAACTCAGTAACTAAGACATTTCTTGTTTTATTTTATTCTTATGTTTTCTCCTATAGAAATAAAGGTAAGTTAATTCGTAGCAATAAAATAACTTGTTTTCTTAACTTATTCCACAAGGAAATTTTAAGGAAATTTTTACCAGAGAACATACACAAAGTTCTTTCTGTTCTCAGATTTTACTATGACTATACCGCATATATCCGAACAGTTTTTATTTAGGTTAATTTAAAAAAATGTAAACCCCCGATTAAGACTATTTATGTACTGTGCCATACAAATGGGGGTAATGGGGGGCTTTTTTGCGTGGCGAGACTTAAGCCCAGCGCACAACCCTGGGGACGGATGTTTTTTGGCTACACAGAGAATATCTACTCTAAGACCGGAAATCTACTTCGGGCCACAGAAAACGTATGACACTCTATAAAATATACTGTACCTAAATGATTAGCGTGATTAGCTGAATCGATTTACCGGAACCCCATAATCAAGTGCTTGTATTGAAATCTTTTTAATTTTACGAGATAAGTTGAAGAATTTCTCACACCTTCCAATGAAAATATGTGATCTCCGATTATACTATTCAGACCGGATCTCTATAGCTACATATATGTATGCTATACAATCTAAATAATCGGAATATAGTGATTCTATGGAAATCTTTTTTATTTTCATCTTCAAAAAAGGTCAAAGGTTATATAAAATCTCTAAAGAAATAACGAGGGCAAGACGAAATATCCTGTCATCAAACAAACAGTCGTCGCACTCGCGACTAGGCTCTCACGTCACTGTTGACAGTCATAACTTTGAAGTCGTAGATAATTTCGTCTATCTTGGAACCAGCGTAAACACCACCAACAATGTCAGCCTGGAAATCCAACGTAGGATAAGTCTTGCCAACAGGTGCTACTTCGGACTGAGTAGGCAATCGACAAACAAAAACCAAACTTTATAAGTCACTCATAATTCCCGTCCTGCTATATGGTGCAGAGGGTTGGACGATGTCAATAAAGAATGAGTCGACGTTGCGAGTTTTCGAGAGAAAAGTTCTGCGAAAGATTTATGGTCCTTTGCGCGTTGGCCACGGCGAATATCGCATCCGATCGAACGATGAGCTGTACGAGATATACGACGACATTGACATAGTTCGGCGAATTAAAAGACAGCGGCTACGCTGGCTAGGTCATGTTGTCCGGATGGACGAAAACACTCCAGCTCTGAAAGTATTCGACGCAGTACCTGCAGGGGGAAGCAGAGGAAGAGGAAGACCTCCACTCCAAGGAGAAGAAGAAAGAAATGGTTCAGATCGGATAACTATTCGATGACAATCGGCTCAACTATAAGTAACCAAGGACTATGAACTCGGCACCATTCTGCGAATTTACTTTAGGAATGTTTTCTGTCGAAACAAGAACATATAGCATATACACATGTATATTAATACAAACTGAATAAACGGACGCAAATGCTTGCATGGAAAACTCATGAATTTGACGAGATATCTTCACGAAATTTGGCAATGTTTATACAATATCCAAAGAAAATGTTCAGGTCGGATAACATACCTCGATGGGATCACACATACTCTTTATGTTTTTCATTACGTATCTATTACAAACATTTTTCTTTATTTTTAAATAAAAAATTTATACAATGTCATTTAATTGATTTTTAGATAAATGAATTTCAAGACGTCTATATTTTTTTACTGTTATTTATTAAATTGCTTATAGCTCTGAAACAAAACTCTTTTAAGACTGATGTTAAAACCTTTTCTGTTACAAATTTATTTTCCCATAAATTTTCCTTTGTATGTTTCATCAAAAACAGATGTTCACTAAGTTTTTTCAAATATATGTATGTGAAAAACGTGAAAAATCAAAAATAAAGTACTTAAAGTCAAATTTTAGGACTCAAATTTTCAAGGATTATTTTTTAACATAAGCAAGTAAGGAAGGGCTAGGGTGTCACCGAACATTTTATACTCTCGCATGATAAAGTGATAATCGAGATTTCAGGCGTGGTTGTGAACCGATTTCACCCATACATGTCATGTACATGTCATCAGGGTGTTAAGAAAATATTATATACCGAATTTCATTGAAATCGGTCTAGTAGTTCCTGAGATATGGTTTTTGGTCCATAAGTGGGCGAAGCCACGCCCATTTTCAATTTTTAAAAAGACCTGGATGCAGCTTCCTTCTGCCATTTCTTCCGTAAAATTTAGTGTTCCTGACGTTTTTTGTTAGCCGGTTAACGCACTTTTAGTGATTTTCAACATAACCTTTGTATGGGAGGTGGGCGTGGTTATTATCCGATTTCTTCCGTTTTTGAACTGTATATGTACAAAAAAGTTAGTAGGGGGCGGGCCACGCGCACTTTTCCAAAAAAATTACGTCCAAATATGCCCCTCCCTAATGCGATTCTTTGTGCCAAATTTCATTTTAATATCTTTATTTATGGCTTAGTTATGACACTTTATTGGTTTTCGGTTCGCCATTTTGTGGGCGTGGCAGTGGGCCGATTTTGCCCATTTTCGAACTTAACCTTCTTATGGAGCCAAGAAATACGTGTACCAAGTTTCATCATGATATCTCAATTTTTGCTCAAGTTACACGGACGGACAGACGGATGGACGGGCAGACAGACATCCGGATTTTAACTCTACTCGTCACCCTGATCACTTTGGTATATATAACCCTATATCTGACTCTTTTAGTTTTATGACTTACAAACAACCGTTATGTGAACAAAACTATAATACTCTCCTTAACAACTTTGTTGCAAGAGTATAAAAATTAAGGCGATCAGAAGGGATCGAAAATTCGCCAATGTCGTCACAAAGGTAATGTCCATAATCACAAAAGTCGCGACAACCAAATGCGTAGTGCCTCATATGAGCAGAGATATATAGGTACATATGTACATATCTCTGAGTGTATGTATATCCACATATTAGGTTGTATGGAGAATTAGAAAAACACAATTTATCCACAGAAGCTACCACAAGAAAGCAGAAAGATCAAAAAATTGCAACAAAAAAGTAGAAACTGGTACCATAGATCATAAGGGATTATAGTCATGCATTCTTTATACATAGTAGGTAATGAGCAAGAAGTAGAAGTATTATGTCGAGCTACTTATCTTGCAGTGCCAAGCTATTGTATTAAAGTAGATACATATGCACATATGTATGTATGTACATGAATATTTTTACATTTGTATGCACATAGCCCATTTTATTGCCTTCACATTCGTGACTCGGTAAAATCTTTATACCTGTGTGTATCTGTTCCTTTCAGGTGAAATTCGAAGCCACTGGGTTTGAAAGCATCATATTTTCAGGTRTTTATAGGTATGTATGTATATGTAAGACAACAATGCCCCCGAGCTAGAAAGTATCGGGATTGACATCAGAGTGGGACCAAACACATCCTTTGTTTGAAATGTTGGAAACATCATTAATCTTTTATTCTGCCTCCGCACTGAAATTAAAATTATATATACATAGGATATATAGAGAGAGAGACAGAAAATTACTCAGCACTTAAAACGGTATTAAGATAAAAAAAAAATGATAACGTTGGTTGTGCCGAAGCTGTAATACGCTTTATAAATACCAAATATACTTTATTAGCCGGTTTTTATGGCAGTTATATGCTAAAACAATCCGATCTAAACAATATTTATGCTTTCAACAATAACACATGAAAAATTACATCAAAATGTCACCTCAACTGAGTAGCTCCTTATACAGACGGATAGTCAGACGGACATTTCTAAATCGATCCAGTTCGGCACGATGATCACTTTTATATACTATATATGTAYGTATGTATATACTTTCGATAAAACTTTTCCGTATGAGTCATAACAAGTTGAATATTTAGGCACGACGCACGATGTACGACGTCTTTTGTTAAATATATCCTAAACAAGAGGTGATCTTTTAGACAAACTTGTTCATATATTTCTTTAAAACCATTTTAATTTATCATTGATATAGAAAATTTACCTAATTAAATCAAATTATAAGCCTTTGTGGTCTCAA